CCTCAGGATAAATCTTGGTGTCATCATTGGTATTCATATTGATTGATTGATTGCCCGGTTTGGTATACCACACTACCACTCTTGTATTACATTCCTCGTCATAACTTGTGGTAGTTGCTCTCTTTAGTGCCTGGCTTGTAGAATAATTAGTTAGAGATAGTTGTTCCTAATTAGCTAGGTCACTAGTTGTGTAGTTGCAACACAGGTAAATAGCTTATGTGATATACATAGAGATCATAGTGAATAGAATTGGTAGGTGGTTTGCCTTTTGAGTAGAGCTAGAGCAAAACGCATTATCGTCATTTAGTATTCTAACATTTAGCTCTAGTGTTTTGTAAAAAAATTTATTAGGTTATTCACCCCCCCTCTAGCTATTTAGGACCTTTCATCCATTTTCTATGTAATTGGGCCCTAAAAACAGTCCCTAACATATAATACACTCACAATAGTAGCCCCTTAGCTATTCAGTTTTGATGTGAAAGGGCCTGTAGCCTAGTAGTTACAAGAGCCTAGGTTTGACTTCCCGTGGGAGCCAATATTCTAGGATTTAATGACATTTGTGCTTTCAGTGGTAGGCGATGTTCCCAACGACAGTGAGGCATGGTGACTTCATCAATCTTGTCTCAAGGATTTGTTGGCCTAGTCTTTTGGAGGTGCTCATATGGGTAGGGTTTGTGTGCGTACATTCATAGGGGTGAGTACGCATGCGTTGTGAGTGTCTGTGTTGTATTGTGTAATCTAGAAAAAAGTTATTCGGTTTTGATCAAAAGTACAAGACCCAATAGCTCAATACAACTAAGTGTGGCCCAATTACTACTCGCTCCCAGCACATGGCTCTCATCTATACAGAGATAGTCTAGGGATGATTTTATCTTCGGTTAGTCTTCGAGTCAACCTTTGTTCGAACCTCCGTGATCCTGTCTTTGGCAGCTTGTTCCTTTGACCTTGATCCATAGATACATTCTTTTCACAATTAAGCATTCATCGAAGACATTGATGTAGTCGAAGTAGGTGAAGTAATTGACGTAGGCGAGGTAGTTGTAGATGATCATGACATGTCTTCAAGCTTTCACTCATGGGTGCCACGCAAAGCTTTTGTCTTCAAGTGGATTGCTTGTCTAATGTGCTCCTCGCCAACCCCTGTTGGCTGGCGCTTGTGAGAAATTCTTTCAAAGATGCCGATGGTGATCCCTCCGCTCCAAGATATTAGCAAAGGCAAAGTCAAAGGTGCCGATGGCGACTCCTCCGTTCCAAAATGCTGGCAAACGTGAAGTCAAAGATGCTGATAGCAACTAATCTACTCCAAAATGTTGATGAAGGCGTTGTTGATGACACTGAAGTCATTGGCAAAGCCCCTTGCCGAAATGTTAGTGAAGGCATAGTCAATGACGTTGAAGTCGGTGGTGAATCCCCTTGCCAAAATGTCGGTGAAGCCATTGTCAATGATGCCAAAGTTGTTGGTGGGTCCTCTTGCTGAAACATTGGTGAAGGCGTTGTTGATGACACCGAAGTTGTTGGCGAGGCTCCTTGCCAAAAAATTAATGAAGGCATAGTCGATGATGCTAGAAATTGTGGTGAAGCCCCTCGTCAAAACATTGGTGAAGGCATTGTCGAATGACGCCACAGTCGTTGGTGAAGCCCCTTGCTAAAATGTTAGCGAAGGCATTGTCGATGACACCAGAGTTGGCGGCGAAGCTCCTCACTGAGAAGTTGGTGAAGGCGTTGTCAAATGACACCAAAGTTGATGGTGAAGCCCCTCGCCAAAATGTTAGCGAAGGCATTTTTGTTGATGCTGGACTCGATGGCGAAGCCCCTCATAGTTAATGATGCCAAAGTAGGGGGCGAAGGCATAGTTGATGGCGGTGGCGATGCTGCTCACTGATATGGTTTGCAAAGGTGTTGTTGGTGACATCAAGATCGGTGTCTGGGGCCCTTGTCTTAACTCAACCAAAGTTTTGAATAGTGGCTCACGGAAATTTCAATAGTGAAGTGGGGAGAAAAAGCAAGAGCCGATGATAGAAGTTTTGGAGAGAGTGCTCTGATGGCATCCGGTGCTTTAGCGCTGGTATGACCACTTTGTTTTCTTATCCCCTTTTTTATTGTGGTGAAATGGACAAGAGGCGGCGAAGAGAACCCCTCGGCCTTTTTAGATTACTTTAGTGTTGGCGTCGTACCTTTTTGGGTGACGGATCATGAAATACGCCTCTTAGTTCTTTTAGATTAGTTTGGCGCCAACCCGCTTACCTTATGAGGCGAGGGGGCTCGAAGCGGCGAAATGATCCCCTTTGTACTTTTAGATTAGTTTGGCGCTGACCCCAAACATTTTGAGGCGTGGGGGCGAAGAGCCACGAAATAAGCCTCTCAGCGCTTTTAGATTAGTTTGGCACCAACCCCCATACCTTATGAGGCGAGAGTGCTCAAAGCAGCGAAATGATCCCCTCGGTGCTTTTAGATTGGTTTGACGCTGACCCCCAAACATTTTAAGGCGTTGGGCGAAGAGTCACGAAATGAGCCCCTTGACGCTTTTAGATTAGTTTTGCACCAACCCCATACCTTATGAGGTGAGGGGTATCAAAGCGGTGAAATGATCCCCTTGGCGCTTTTAGATTAGTTTGGTGCCAACCCCCATACCTTATGAGGTGAGGAGGCTAGAATCAACGAAATGTGCCCCTCGGCACTTTTGGATTACTTTGGCCCCAACTCATAGTCAATGTCGCTGACGGCATAGCCCCTCGCCAAGGTGTTGATGAAATCTTAGTTGATGACGCTGGTGGTGATTGCAAAATTAGTTGGAACAAAGTTTGCAAAACATAAATTCACATTTTGCTTCTATTACATGTATTCTTGGCGACCCGAAGTTATCAGGCTCTATCTAATCAATCTGCTTCGGTTGCTCATATTTTTGGCAACGTGAAGTCATTGAGATCTTATCAAATCATTGTGCTTCGCTTGCACGTATTTTTGGCAACGTGAAGTCAATGAGCTCTTCTCATATCCTTGTGTACATAGAGATCGAAAAGGATGCATACGGCGATTTACGATTGCTGACTAGTTTTGATCTCATCAAACTTATTTTTGTCGATATTAGGGAGCCTTACGATGCTAAGGCTCCCCTTTCGGCTCATATGAAGTGCTCATACGGTGAATGGATGTTATGAATGAGTGTCGTGATGCATATGATGCATGCATTCACACATATAAAAATAATGGTAAAGCATTTTTATTTGGCTTCGTCCTCGCTTATCTTTGGAGGGCCGAAGTCTTCAGCTCTTAGGCTTTTCGTTTGGCTTCGTCCTCGCGTATTTTTGGAGGGTCGAAGTCTTGAGCCCTTAAGTTTTTTCATTTAGCTTCGCCCTCGCATATTTTTGGAGGGTTAAAAGTCTTGAGCCCCTTAGGCTTTTCATTTAGCTTCACTCTTGCGTGTTTTTGAGTGTCAAAGTCTTGAGCTGCTTAGGATTTCGTTTAGCTTTGCCCTCGCATATTTTTGGAGGGTCGAAACGAGCATCCAAGACCAAAAGGTTTTATTAGGCGACAAGCAAACAAATAATATGATTATGAAATAATCTAAATTGAACTGTCCAAAAGAAATTCCCCATGAAAAACAAAATACGAGTTCTCAACTAACAAACTTTTCTAGCGGACTAGCTTATCGATGTTTTCTAATCTTTGTCATTAGTAAATAAATTAAGGATTATTAGTATGTTATATTATTAATTAGTAATTATGATGGTAGGATTAGTTTTCATAAGTGCTAATACGATGATTAGTGCATGTTTTGTGTGCCAATTAGGATATTAGTGGTGCTAATTAACAAATTTTATTTTAAATTAGTGATTATCATGACAAAACAGTATTAGTACATATTTATTAGTGTCTAATTAGTTATTATTATTTTAAATAATAGATATAATTAGTCAACTATTCTCATCTCTCCACTTTTATCCATCCAACCAAAAAAATGGCTCGTCCCATCCATCCAACCAAATATGAATCACAAATATCCTTATCCTGATATCTATGGATCACCATATCCCATCCAACTTCGTCCTCCAACCAAACGCACCCTACCGAATTCCTCTAGGTTTTAGTCTAGGAAGAAAAATTACTGAATATCCTATTCTAAATATCGGATAATCCACGTAGATTTTGCGGATAATCCATATCCGTCGGATTTTGTCAAATCCATATTCTACCCCGCATCCATGCATAACCACGTAGATATTAAAGTTCTTCTTCACATCCTTAAAATTCGAATTTGGATCAGATCAGAGCGGAAAAATTATCAGCACCATTTCCACCCCTAGCCGCTCCCCTGCCCTCCCCTCCCAAGTCCTCGTCACAGCTTCCCTCCCCTCTTGCGCTCTCCTCCCGGCCGCAAGCGAGTAGCGTCAGAGGCAGCCTCCCTCCCTCTGGTGTACTATATACTAGTTCATCACGTGCGCCCTCGCACGTGCCGGCAAGGTAGGAAAGGAGATACCTACATTCTAAAGACCACATGGGTCTTGCAGAGAAATGTTAAATGTGCAGTGCCTAATGCTGCTGGGAAAACCACAGCACTTCATAAATTTCCTGCAGTGATATTAATTCTCGTAGAAATTTTACTCACACATATGCATGTCATAGGAACTTTAATAATTTCAGCATATATATATTAGCGTTAGCCACACTGTGAGCTGATAATAGATAAAAAAATGAAGCTCCACAGCTTGATAACTTGATGGTAATTGACTCAGCGAGCAAATTGCAAGCCAAAGTTATGATATTCACAAAATATATCATGACATTGCGCCGAAATGGCAAGCGACATGATGAGCATTAATTGTGACCAATTTTTACCTTGCTTACAACAATAGAAGATAAGCAAACAAAACAGCTAGCAGCACCAACAAAATCAAAATGCATAACGCAATTAACAAGGCAATCACTTCACACCTCTCAAAGCAAGCTGTCATACTACACAATTTGCCACCTTTAGTGAAGGTTCTAGCTAGGCATGCTTCTTAGTTCTTACTAACTACTGAGTAACAATAAAAGTGAGCGCTATGTTGTAATGTGATATGTTTGCAGCGATCATTGGCATGACAAAAGCAGAAAGAATAGCTACTCAATATTACTAAGTACTGACGTTTAGATGCAACGCCAGACCTGAGAATCTGCTCCAGCGTGAGGCGTCCACCATTCTGCAGCATCTCCGCCTGCACAGACCCGACATAGCGATCCATGACGAAACAGAGGTGGTCACCGACCCTCACAGCACCATGGAATGTGCACACGTTCCGACACAATGTGGAGGCGCGCCTCAGCCACTTCACCTCCTCCTGAACAACCTCGAGCCTGTCCCTTGCGGCTAGGGGCACCCTCTTCACTGCCACCCTATGCTTGCACCGCTTGACCCCGCCACCGCCACCGCCATGAGACAGCGTGCCGGCCCACACCTCCTGCCCGGTGGGCCCGAGCAGGCCGCTCCTGATGCGGCGGGCGAGCTTTAGGTCCGAGTGCGAGGCGAGGTCGAAGGAGCTGCATCTCGGCCACTTGCGGGGGGCAACGGGGGCCAGCTCGCGGACGTGTGACACCATGCCGCCCGCGCACCGGCCATCGGTGGAGGCCATGCAGCCGGATCTAACGGAGATGGGGAGGGCTCACGGTGGATCCGCCTGCTCGCCATAGATCCACCGCCTCCGTTGCCTGCGCGAGGTCCACGCCGTGCTCCAGCTTCACGGCCACCGGGAGGGGCCCCATGAGCGGCCACTCCAGATCCACCGCTGAGGCTGTTGACATGACCTCCCCGTCGTCATCCACGTCCACCACGGAGGTTCCTCCGCCGCCAGAGCCCTCCGGCGTGTTAGTGCCTCCGTTGGCTGCCCGCGCAGCCGTGGGGACGATCGGCGATGGAGGGGCGAAACCCTAGGCCACGCGACCCGCTGCCTTGCTTTGCGAGGAGGAAGTGGCGTGGTGGTGGTGGAGGAGGAGGAGCAGGAGAAGGAGGAGGGAGGCCGTGGCCGCACGGAGGGCCGGCCACCGCCGAGGTCGTCCCGCGCCGTCGCCTGAGCCGCGTCGCGAGTCAGGAGCAAGGGAGGGAGTGTGTAGGAGAGAGGGAGAGGAGGGGATGAGAAGTTTCCTGAAGGAGAATCAGGAGATGGAGTATATATTTGCTCCACCGGATTCGCACGAGAAGCCACAAAAGCTAGCAAAATCAATATAGAGCGACGATGAGGCAGAAGAAGCAGATTCTAAAGGAAGCGGCTACAAGCAGTTAGGGCCACACGATGGCGGATCTGACGGCTTGGAACAATTGGGGTGACGTGGATGCTGCGAGAGGTGGCCAAAGTAACAGAATCCGCTTCGACTGATCTGGGCCTTCGAACGCGAGATCGGACGGCGGACGGAATTTCGGGCGACGTGGATGGCCTGGTTGGCGGCTAAACCTTCCTGCTTTGATATATAGAGATAATGTATGGATGATGGGTTTCGTGAGATTGAATTGGATTTGCGCTATGGTATATATGTATGGATGATGGTTCTGTGACTTGGAATTTATTGGTGTTTGTTGAGTTCTTCTTTGATCTTTGTCTTGGATTTGTGTATGGGGTTTCACTGGTTAACACGGGCACGACACAACATAGCTAGCTAACCGTGCCTATCATGCTTGTGCCTAACCTTGCTAGTGCTGGTGCTAAGTTAAAGGGAGATACTAGCACCCGGACGTCTGGACAAAAGCGCGTGTCCGGACATCCGTGCCACCTTCGTCACGTATGCTCACGGAAAAGGTTGTGTCTGCCGTTCTTTCTCTCTTGGCCCCCTCCTCTCTCTCCGTGACCGCGAGTCCGGATGCCCGTGCGCCTGCCGTTCCTTCCCTTTGACCCCCTCCTCTATCTCTGGGCGGGCAGGACCCAAGAGCCGGCATGAGGACGAGCACACCCCGTCCTCAGGATCCTAGGTGCGCTGCGCACCCCTAGTGCCGGCCCACGGCTCGCCGCGCCCCATCCCCTAGCGCCCAGGCTGTGCCCCATATGACTCTCTACCTCTGAAACATGAAACACTTGGATGCATCATACGTCTGAAGCAGATGAAACATTTAGAACATACAATTGCAACATGTGTGAAACATATAATACATTCAGATAAAACACTTGCAAATTGTAACATGAAAACACTTATTACAACATAAGACTGAAACAGCTGAAATATTTTGAACATAATCTTGCAACATAGGTGTGAAACATGTGCAACAGCCAGATAAAAAATGCTTGCAGCATATGTCTGAAATAGATGAAACATTTTGAACAAACGCTTGCAACATGCCTCTGAAACACTTGTAACATATGCAACATCCCGATCTACTTTTGCAAAATCCATACGAAACACGTACAACATACCTCTGAAATATTTAAAACACTTGAAACATATATTTGTATCATATGCCAGAGGAGGTCGGGGCCGGTTGATTCCGGCCTCGAGGCGCGAGCACGACTAGCACGGGCCGCGCTCATGGGTGCCCTTGGCTCTGCCCGGAACCGATCTGAGGCGCGCGACGGCACCACGAGCACCAACAGAGGCGGACGGCGCTGCCGACGGCACGGGAGCGAGCGACGCAGGTGGGACTGCGGGAGCAAGGAGCGAGAGGCGCGGGTGGGCACGCGCGACGGCAAGAGCGTGAAGTGAACAACACAAGGTGGGGCGTGTGCGGGGAGATGGCTGCGGCGGTAAATACGGAGCGGGGCGGCCGCACAGCCGCACGGCGCTGTGAAACGTACGATGGGCGAGTAAGTGGGTAGATATTTTTAAGAGAGATGTGAGAGACATAGAGAAAATGAGGTAGGCTTGGTGGACCACGCAGACGCAAAAGGCGGTGTCCGGTTGGATCGATGCCCGTCCCTGAGCATTACCGTAAGTCAAAGCCATCTTTATTTTTATCACTTTTTTTTAGAAAAAAATTCTAATATTTACAATATTTAGTTGGCTGTGCAGACTAAACCATACCCATCAGGCATCAGCTGATCAGCATGAGATTGTTGGCTGTGCAGAGGCCGCGTCAGCGCGCTCTTTCTGTCCTGAGGCTCTCGATCGGCTTCCTCCCCTCTCCACCGCGGGAACGTCCGGCGCCACGCCCACGCCACCCAAGATTCTACTTCTACGGTTCTGCCAGTGGCCTCCTTTGCTCTCTGCTGAGCTCCCTCGCAGCCTCGCTGACCGTTACGCAGCGCGCGGTACGCCGGCCACGCCCGCCATGCACGACTCGGCATAGGCGGCAGTCGGCACTAGCTAGCTAGGCACCGGCGCACCGACCGATGCGGCCGGCGGGGCCACCGACGAAGCCCGCCGGCGCCGGCGCCGGCGCCGGGGCGGTCCAGGGCAGCAGCAGGCGTAGTAGTAGGAGGCCCGGCGGCGCCGTCCTGAGGCTGCTGCAGGCGCCGGCGGTCGTGGCGCTGGCGGCGGCGCTCGCGGTGTCGTCGTCGCCGGGGCCGGGGCCCCCGGCGTCGGAGCCGCTATGCAACCTCCCGCCGACGCTGTCCGGCGAGGACGGCGGCCGGCGGCAGGGCGAGGCGAACAGGATCCGGCACCCCAAGTCGGACCGCGCGGCGCGCTGCACGTCCAAGTGCGTCAGCACCTGCGTCCTCGGCGGCTACGGCGCGCCGGGCGTCGCCGGTCCCTTCAACATCCGGAGGTACGCACGCTGCTCCAATCCATCGTCGCGTCGGTCGCTCCATTGCTTGCTCATCTTCGTGATGATGATTAAATTAAGCGCGTACGATTGGACTGTCTGATCAATCTCTGCTTTGATGACTAATTCTCTCTCGTTTGCCGTTGGCATCGAATCATGGATGGATGGATGCGTGCAGGCCCCTGGTGGTCTTCAAGGACACCTTCCGAAGCCGGCAGTACTGGTAACGACGCACGCACGCACGCAAATTGGCTCCTTTTCAATCCATTATTACTGACGAGTGATTTGTCTTGATTACTAGTGTCCAATACTCCAGTTATTTATATGCATGCATGCCTGTGTTTAATTTGTAATAGCTTGGTGGAGTGCTCGGACATCTGCAATCTACTCAAGGACGGCGAAGATGACCAGTGAAAGTGGACACAACAATGCAAGAATACGAGCTCTCCTGCATTCCATGGTGTGGCCGGAAACGGAGGCTTTGGCCGGCCGGCCGTTTTATATGCTCCGGATTGCCCGATTCGCGCACCCATAACATGCCATGCGAGGCAGAGTTTTCCCTCTCTTCTCTCTCTCACTCTCTCTATCTAAATCTAAATCGAAAGGAGCTAGCTTAGCTACTAAAGTACTCTATCCGGTCAAAAACACTCACACACGTTTGACTTTCCATGGTCTTCCATGCGTATATTCAGAAGGTGATGATGTTGAGGATACTGCCCGTAGTAGCATGAATATTGCTAAGTTGATCAGACCCGCACTAAAGTCTTTAATTGTTCGCCATTTCGGAGAAACCATAATTGACACATGGTTTACCGAGTTCAGGTCTCTTGTTGCTGAGCACCTTGAAAAGGAGAAGACCAAGTTCACCACCATCATCATGTCCTTGAAGAAAGAATAATATAGATCCATATGGGTGTTGTTTCTCAAATTTCTTTTACTCAAATACCAAAGAATTATATAATATATAGATATGTGTGTATATGTATATGTATATGTATATGTATATGTATATGTATATGTATATGTATATGTATATGTATATGTATATGTATATGTATATGTATATGTATATGTATATGTATATGTATATGTATAATCCTTTGTACTCCTAGGGTGTAGCTACTCCCATGTGTGTATCTCAATATTTAGGGTGTATATGAGCCAATAAAGTGTATGTACACGCAATATAAGATTATACTAGACCATTTGGGATAGTATGTATGCAAAGATCCAACATATCCCCCGTCGAAGGAACGGGGTCGGAGTCGCACTGTGGTCCCACCTCGGCCAGGCCTTCCGGTTGGGGACCGGATCGTGGTCTCGGCCTGTTATTGTGTATTTGGGCCGGCCCAGACGCGCATTGTCGCTGCGCCGCCTGCTGGGCCAAGTATTGCAGGGAAGCAGGTCCATTGGGGACCTCGAGTTTATGAAGCCGACACTCTCTATCCAAATCTAAATCGAAAGGAGCTAGCTTAGCTACTAAAGTACTCTATCCGGTCAAAAACACTCACACATTTGACTTTCCATGGTCTTCCATGCGTATATTTGATCAGTAGATTCTTGTAGAATGTATTCTTAGAAGCCTTCAAAGAGATAATGTCAGCATCTTCAATATATATCTACACATGCCATTTTCCCTCCATGTTTCTAAACTAAATATAATTGTAACGTGCTTGTAATTTTTCAGGTTTAGACCATTTTACCCCAATATAATAGGTTTTTTTTTACTGAAGGGAAGGACTGTTAGCATATATGTAGTGCATGCATGGAGATGCGAATGGGTTGGCCTTGCAACACCCTCTTTCCTTAACCGCATGCTAGATAGATGCTGCTAGTCATGGATGCATCAAAGAACTCCTTATTCACTATGGTGAATGGAGTAGGTAGTGTCACTACAATACTAAGATGCTGCCACCATCATCTTCTCAAGTGATGGAGAACAGGAAACGAGAAACTTGAGAGGTGTGTTGTCTTGTGTTTTCAAAAGGGGACCAAAGATGTCGTCTAGGAAAAGTGAATCTACGATACTTGCAGCAGAGTTAGTATTTTTTTTACTTCCTCTGTTCCAAATTGTAAAACGTTCTGTGTTTTGTACATACATAGCTTTTACTATCATCTAGAAAAGTTAGAATGTCTTATAATTTGCAATAAAGGGAGTTTTCTAAAACTGAACCCTCAGATTTTTTTTATAGAGTATAGAAAACAAGAGGAATTAAGCTCTTTTGCATATGAAATTCAAACCGCAGCTCCTTGGTGATTTCAAGGGTGTTTCTTGAGTAGAGTCGCGATGTCCCTACACACAATACGCAAAGCCCAATCCCAAATGCAGCATTGGGGCTTCCATGTCATAGGCCCAACATATCTTTTTTATCGGTACAAAGCCCATCTAAAACCTTAGCCTTTCGGTTTCCATGTCACAGGCCTAACAAATAGGAATTCCCGATTTATTGGTCACGCACGAAGCCCATCCATAAACAATGTAATCCATCTGTCCTAAATTAAATCGATTTCTAAAGTTGTCCTAGATCAAACTATTTTAAATTTGACTGACTTTATAAAAGAGCATTAATATTTATAACACAAATCAATACTACTAGATGATGCAAAGATATTATGGTTAAATTTAGGATGGCTCTAGAAATCAATTTATTTTGGGATGGTTTTAGAAATCAATTTATTTTGACCGAGAGAATAATAGGCTTCCATGTTTAGGCATAAAGAAAATTTTCATTGTGATTTGGTTGGGGTGCGCTGGCCCAGCCAGCAGTGCAACGGTTAGGCGACGCTCAAGGGCCCAATGACAAGCCACTATGGTGGTTCCTCCCCCAAAAAAATAAATTTAATATCAAAGTGGACACATGGTCCACATATTAAATATTAAACTGATAAGAACATATACTACACTTCCACTGATCTTAGAGAAAAAGCCAAGAAAGGTATGGGTTGCACTGAGGCCGTGGGTCTCATTTTATACCCTTCTTTTGGCTTTGCTCGCTCAAAGCTGTCGAGGTGGGACTAAACTCAAGGTTAAGCACGGCCCAGAGCAGCTCAAATACGTTGTTGCTCTTGCTATTTGTTTTTTTTGTTTGCTTCATTGGGCCGTTTGGGCTCATAATTTACCATCCCAAAGTGGATTGGCCCAGTTTCCCGTAGCCGCTGCCGTTGGACCAGAGGAGACCGGGGCATGCAGTGGCATGAGTATCGATGTGCATTAGCGCAGGCTAGCAGCCTACGACACACCACCACCACCTGTCGTCGTGATTCCAGTCGCCGTCGATGCTTGCCGTAGCATTGGGGCATGTCAAGTTGTGCTACCAAGTCCCAAACCAATAGCAGTGGAGCAAGACGCGTGTACGAGGGGCTGATGCCTATTTTTTTTACAATTTGGCTCTTTTTTTAAGAAAATTTACGTTTGGTCTCTCTAGGAGACGTAAACTCATCTTTGGATTCTGAGAGTCGGCGTCATGACTCATGGCGCCGAGGTAACACATCTCGACGCCACATATCTTGGCTCTGAGGTGCCTGACTGAGCTCAGCAGGACATCCTAGGTGGCGTTGACGTGGCCGGTACCTCTGTGCCAGAATACATGACGCCGAGATCGGCGCCACAGATCTTGGCGCCGAGCTCGACGCCACAGATCTTGGCACCGACCTCAGGCGCGCAGGGCAATGCTATTACTGTCTCTGCTTTACCGCGCATCGAGAACACATACTGCCGTGTGCCGTCCTACTCCAGTAGCTGTGCGTAGGGATGAAAAAGGTCGGAAACGGTCGAAAAACCTCTCAACCGTTTTCTACTTCTACATTTGAATACGAAAACGAAAACGAAAGAGATAAAGCCGGACACGAAAACGAACACGAACTTACGGAATATCAAAAATTTCGAAAACGAATTAATTCGAGCGGAATTATGTCGAACACGGTCAGTATACGAAAACTTCTAATTTTTTTACCACAGCCTCTACATGCGATGACACGACACCTCGACAAGTTTCGTAATTTTTGGACTTCGTTTGCATTTTATATAATTAAAACACACTTTTTTAACAAGTTGGTGGTCATGTTTCGTGAAACAGATGTTCGAAATTTCACGAATGTCCCTGCACACGGCCTCAAAATACACTTAAAAACATGAATACCATTTTTTGAATTGCTAAATTCCAATATTTCATGCACCTGCAATTCAAATTTACTTTTTCGAGAAAAATTCAAGTAAACATAAAAAATTTAAAAAATATAAAAAAAAGTCATAGAAAAGTTCTAAATTAGAACATGTGCTTCGAGGTACTGTATAAATGCCACAGAAAAAATTTGAAAACAAAAATAAAAAAAATAAAAATACTTTGCCGAGTGTCAGAATTGACACTCGGCAAAGGAACCTCTTTGCCGAGTGCCAGGCTTGCAGCACTCGGCAAAGAATATTCAAAAAAAAATTCATCTTTCGGATTAAAAGAACCCCCCCTGAATTTCTTTGCCGAGTGCCCGCATTTCGGCACTCGACAAAGGGCCGCCCCACTTAACCCTAGCGGGCCAGCTCGCCCGCTCCCACTCTCCCTCTCACAGCCGCGCGCCCCGGCCCCGCCCCGCCGCCGTAGACCACCGGCGCCGCTAGACCTCCGCCGTGGCCGGCCTGCGCCCGGGTCTGCCCTCCCCACCCGGTGGTGCGCCGCCCGCCTGCCACCGCCCCACCTGCCGCCCGACCGCCCGCGCCCTGGCCTCGCCCGCCCAGCCCGCTCCGCCATGGGACACGGACCGCCTGATGGTGCCTTGCCCGGCCGCCCCGCCACGAACCGCCGGAGTGGAGGAGAGGAGGAGCAGGGGAGTAGAGGAGAGAAGGGAGGTGGAGGAGAGAAGGGAGAAGGGAGAAGGGAGAAGGAGAAGGGAGGAGAAGGAGAAGGGAGGTGGAAGGAGGAGGAGCCTCGGCCGCCGGCCACGCCCCTCGCCGTTCGTCCCCGCCCCTCGCTAGAGACGAAGGTGACCCCGGCACCGCGTCGTCCGACTCCACTGCCACCCAAGGTATAAAGCCCCCCCGGTTGTCGGCCTTCGTGCCTTGTATGTCATTGACGGCCTTCGTGGCGTATGTGGATGTGTGGGCCTTTATGCCGTAAGTGCTAGCAGTGCAACGGTTAGGCGACGCTCAAGGGCCCAATGACAAGCCACTATGGTGGTTCCTCCCCCAAAAAAATAAATTTAATATCAAAGTGGACACATGGTCCACATATTAAATATTAAACTGATAAGAACATATACTACACTTACACTGATCTTATAAAAAAGGCCGAGAAAGGTATGGGTTGCACTGAGGCCGTGGGTCTCATTTTATACCCTTCTTTTGGCTTTGCTCGCTCAAAGCTGTCGAGGTGGGACTAAACTGAAGGTTAAGCACGACCCAGAGCAGCTCAAATGCGTTGTTG